CCAAGAAATCCGCCCTCACATGCCACCAAACTCCTATATAAAAGGTAAAGCCATCCCGTATTCTAGTCTCTCCGAACACAGCAACACAGCCACTGCCAGGGCGGAGGGGGGAGGGAGCAGGTGTTGTGGCGATGGGGGCTCTGGACCCCCATGGTCTGGGGAGTCCCGAAAGGCCAGGGCAGACCACGGTTTGAGTCCTAGACTTGGCAGTCTGTTTGCTCACTTCCCCTTTCTCCTCTGGTCAAATAAAAAACAACAAATAAAAGGATTCTGTAAATAAAAACTTAAAAATAAATGCCTCTCGGGAACAATGAACATGAGTTAGCCTGTGCTCAAACTGTGGAGCTCGAACCCGTTCTCTCATAAATTCATTGTTACAAGAGGGAAGGCGGAGTGTCTGAGAACACTGGAGCGCTCTGGAGTATCTGGTCTAAGCAGCAGAGCAAGAGGGACCAGCAGTTGGTGTAATGGCTATGTCGCTGGACTCCCACGTAGTTGACCGCGGTTCGCATCCCAGACCCAGTGGCTTAAACTCACGCTGGGCGCGTGTGCGTGCATCCCCAAGATCCTGAGAAGGGATTACGATGTGGCCATCCCCCTGGGGGGTGGTTTCTCGCTTTGTCTGTCTCTCTCTGTCTCTCTGGCGAGCGCACACACCCTATAGCAAAAACCTCTCCTAAAAAAAAGAAGCAGCAGAGCGAGAGCCCCAGGCAGCAGGACAGGGAGCTGCAGCACCTGGGCCACCCAGGAGAGGCCGAAGGACAGGGCTGTGTGACATGCAGACAGCCCCATGGGTCCAGAACTCCTGCAGAGGTTTCCTGGGACCCAGGAAGGAGCTGAGTCAGTGTGAGGTGGAAAGATGGCACCTGCTCTGAGTTAATTCAGCATAAACAGGAACTCTGAGCCACAGCTGACCTCGAGAAGGCGACCCTGATCTCTGCAAGAAATGCACAGGAGCCCTGGGGAGTCCAGGCACAGTGGGGGGCACACCAGGACCTGTCCTCCAAGTTCACGAGAAGGGGTTCCCGAGTCGAGTAGGGACTGACTGTATCAATTATATGCTCTCTTTATAAACACAGTAATTCCCTCTAACAGATTTGCCACAAGTTTCTTAACCTTGACGCTATTACCACACGCTAACTTGGTTGTAACTTCCCTCATAATAAACAACTTGAAGCTTCTTTGCACATAAGTCTTTTCGCAGCGATATACAGAAATGAAGTTGAGGAGTGCAGGGCGCAAGCACGCTGTCTAAGTTTACTAAGTTGTTCTCTCAGACACCCCAGCGGGGTCCTCATGCAGCAGCGTGTCCCTGCCGACAGGGCACCCGTGGGCTGTGCACCCAGGACCGCTCCACATGGGCCAGCAAGGCAGAGCCCCGCTGCACTGCTAGCCAGCCTCCACGTTGTAAGCACTTTTTAATTACAGATGGCAGGGGCCAGCAGGTGGCATGGTGGTTAAGGGTGGTGGACTCCCACATGGTGGACTATGTTCAAGTCCTGGACCTGGCAGCTTGCCTTCTCACTTGTCCTCTCTCTCGCTCTGTCCCTCTCAGGTCAAATTTAAAATAAATTTAAAAAGTTAAACAAAATGATTATTTTAAAAAATGAAATAAAATATTGATAACAAAATACAAGAGTACACTGTCAACACCAATTTACACCTTCCAAATATCTATATTTGTGTTCGATTACAAATTTTTTTACTTTTATTAAAATCTTTTTAAAGTGGGTTTTGCCTTAGGGCATGTGTGCTCATGGGAGAAAGAGCCAGAGACGGTGAGACGGCAAGTGCGAGCCTCCAGTCCAGGGCTGAGCCGCCGTCGGCCACATGGGAAGGCCACGACAGCATCGAGACACCGTCTGCTGGCCTGTCTTCATTTTTTAGAAGTCTGTCATTTTAATGTCCTTTCATGAGACCCCACGCCTGTGCTTTCCTTATTTATCTACGATTTTTCTTCATTTTCATATTGACTTGTTTCCAATTTTCCTATTTTAAAACTGCCAGAGGGCACACGTTCTCACCAGAGACAGAGAAAGGAACCCATCGGGGGATGGGCCCGGCACAGCCCCCCGTCAGGATGTCCAAGCACGTTCCTCGACATGCTGGGGCCAGGAGCTGCAGCTGCCACACCGTGTGGGCTCCGACCCCAGCGCGGGGCCCACCCTGGTGCCAGGGGCCCACTCGCGTCCTCACCAATTCTCATGGATTATCTCTGTTTATGGTTATTCATCTTTCAAGTTCCGCATTTGTCAATATCATCCAAGTTTACCTTCATTTTGTTCATATATTGCTCTCTGCTGTGTGATTTTTACTTTTTTTTTCTCTTGGCTTATTTTTTTTTCCAATTTATTTATTTGCATTCATTCACTGTACATCATTACAGCATAAAAAATGAGATTTTCCATCCAGAGTACACTGTATATTGTCTCAATCAAGCACATCAACAAACATGTTATTGTCAGCAAAGAATCTTCCATTTCTTGTTTTCTGTATGTTTTGCTTTTTTCCCCCCATCCTTGATTCCCTATCTCTTACCCTCTGCCATCTCCCACTCTCCTCCCTCACTGTCTCTG